CTGTAAATTTTCCCACCATCAGTTCCTAAACTGAAATATCCCTTTGCTAAAATGTCAACACGCAAGTGTTCACAGCAATGTCATTCCTTCTCTTTCATTCACAGTTTTGATGTGGACAATGGCACATCTGCGGGACGGAGTCCCTTGGATCCCATGACCAGCCCAGGATCTGGGCTAATTCTCCAAGCAAACTTCGTCCACAGTCAACGTCGGGAGTCCTTCCTTTATCGATCTGACAGCGATTATGACCTCTCTCCAAAGTCTATGTCCCGGAACTCCTCCATTGCCAGTGATATGTAAGTATAAGGGTGAGCAAAGAGAAGAGGAAGCTTCTATAAAAAATCAAGTTAGTTTATCTCTAGAGTTGATGATGTAATAAAACCAGCAATATTTTTTATCTACATCAGTCTAGAACTTAAAAAGAATGGTAAGTAAAATTATACAAGTTGAAGATAAATGGTAGATTTAACTTGAGTACACTCACTCTTGATAAGAAACAATTATTTTCCATAGATACATTGTATGGGAAAAGTGAGAATTAAATTTTTAATGGAAACATTTATAATTAAAACATCAACTTATATTCTGGTAGGACCCGAGTTTTAGCTACACAGCCACATGAATATAATATTTCAAAAAGTTTTAAACTCGGCTTGAAAATCCCTGTGATATTAGAGTGCATAGAGTTTTGAATATATCTCAATTGATGTACCATATAGATATTAGCATTGGTTTGCTGGATCATTTGAGAGGTCTTTGCAGGGGTTTGCCTAAATTAAGCCATTTTTGGAATATGAATTGCTGGAGGCAGGCACAGAAAACATTAGACAGAATTGAATATCATTTATAAGATGGTACATCTGATAAGGAGGTTCTCAGATCATATACTATCATTAACTCATTTCTCGGCACAATTCATTCTTGTGTTTACTATAGAGTTCATTAGCCTTCTAAGTTGTGGAGGCTTCAAAATAGAACCTTACTCTCAGTACCTATGCTGTCATTTGTGGTAACTATTGCCTCTGTATATAGTGTTGGTCTTCCCCTCCCTCCTCTGCATTTAGACATTTGTCCAGTAACACTCACTATCTTCTCATGACACCATGTCAAGAATTCATGACAGGCTGCAGTTAATCTTACAGGAATTAGCTTATATAGGGCTCCTGAGGGTCTAGTGTTATTCTTCATTTCCTAACAAATCACCATGGTATCCCAAAAGGTCTAAAGGGTGTTCTAAAAATGAAATTGTGCTCTTCTCGTTTTTACAACCTACAGTTTTTGGTTGCCATTTTATTAATAGTTATAAAACGATAATACAATTTATGTTCTAATCTCCTTAGGAGTGACTAGGGAGTGACTAAATTGAAATCACTTTGATTCAAACACTAAATTATTAAACTCATATTGTGTAGCTGTCCCTATTTGAAGCACTGCAGGAGATATAAGAATACTATGTGACAGTGTTTTTGATTTCAAATAACTAATAGTCTATAAAATAAAAGGTCTCAGATCAAATGACTAGTAGAAAAGACAGAATATAATCCCTAACTTATGTCCTTGTGTACTACAGTTGAAAAATATCTCACTATCTACCTTTAATTATGCACAGGTCTACACCATCTTTCAAAAAAAATATGCACTTCCCCTCAGCTTTTTTGGTAATGAAACTTATTCAGTAAGTTATATCTCTCCACGTTCTGCCACCCCTACCCAAAGATTCACATTTGTTCTCTATATTTCCTTACCATGTTGTGTTGCCTTAATATTATGAAATCTATCTTCTATTTATATTGACCTCTGAAAATCCGTTAATTCAAGACTTGAAATGAATAGATTCCACTTCCATAAAGTAAAAGGCATGTTGCCAGTTATTAGAGGAAATACAAGGCGGTTCTCAACAACTCGTTTTCATCATCATTGTGTTCTCACTTTTCTCCCACTCACAGACCTCTCCTTCACCTGCTCCTCTTTTCACGCCTTAACATGTTTCCCTAAAGTATAGCCCTTGACCCTCGGGTCTCTTCTGTTGAAAACTCTTTTGTGTAGGGGTTCACCTGTTATCTTTAATCAGATAACTTACCACTCAGTATCTCTGGCCCTGCAACCTCAGTTGAGCTCTAGATCTGTAGCATTTAAATGCTTTCTATAAATTTGCACTTTCTTATTCAGCTGTACCTCACAATCATTAATTAGTACATATTCATCATTACATAAGTGAGCTTCAGATCTATAGCACTTAATCACCTCCTCGAAATTTACTTTTTTTGTTCAATTGTTACCTCATACTCATTAATTAGTGCATATTCATCATTAATTCATTGTATTAATAGAGCCCACTCTTCATCCCTAACGAACTTCCCTTTTCCAATGCCCCTATTTCTATGTTATTTTTTATCTACTTTCTCAGGTTTGAAGTTTAAAACATTCATTTATTTATTCACACATAATCAAAATACTTATTAAACAACTATGGCATGTTCAAAGCTCCCAATCTGTAGATGAGAGAGGGCTTGCATTTTCGGCCATTATGATAAAGTGCAGTAGCACCCAGAGGAGCAGCATCTGCCTAATGAGAGGCAAGTAAAATCATGTCAGTTAAGGAATGACAGTCTGCTTGGTGTGAGTAAGGAAGTGTGGCGGGAGAGAAAGAAGATTTGAATATAGTCTATGGGACTTGAGAGCTACAAAGGCATATAAATGAGATCTGTATAATCAAATTATTTTTTGTTGCATTTTGATTATTCTGTTGTTGAACAATTACATAGTAAAGTGACTACAGGGAAATGGAACATGTTTAAATTCACAAACTAGTTAAATATTGTGGAAGCCCATGTCAGGGGAGTGGTAGTGGGATG